CCGCGCTGCGCAGGATTGGAGCTCCTCCGGTGCCAATCCTTGCATCTTCTTCTCCATCTCCGCCTGGCGACAGGTCCGTCTCGTCTCCCGGGTTCTCCCGGAGGCTTCGGAACCCGACCGGCAGCGACACACCGTTTCGCTCGCTGTGGAAACGGACCGAGGCTCCCAAGGGCTTCCGAAACCGGCGGTGGACGCCGCGCCTTCAAGACGGAGGCCACCATCGAGGCCCCGATGCAGCCGATCAGCACGAAGACCACGATGTGCTGCAAAAAGGTCAAGTGGTGGGAAAACGCGGAGGTCGTGCACGGCGGGATCGGGGCCGACACATTGGAGTGGATGGTCCGTGGAAGTCCAAAATGGACCGGAACACCTTCCTAGCAAGAGCAGGCATGTATGATAACGACCCTGGAAGAAAGAGCGCTCCAAGCCATCTTTTCCTGGATTCCGCCCCCACTCTTTTTGGGACTGCTTTCAAGCCTTCTCCCCAAAACCTTCTAAGCTTGATCAACCCTACGGCTTTGGCACCCTGCAGTCATCAAGCATTACTTAGCGGCAGTCATTTCTTGAAGTTCCTCCCAAAGGGCCCGGAGAGAAAGGACACATACACATACATACTGTCCCCCAAAACATTACTGCAGATGTCCCAGAAGGGATTCCTCTGAGCCAACAATCTCATGGTTTTGTCTCCCAGCTTCACCCAGCCAACGCCGCAAGCGAGACACCGTCGAGAGACCTGGAGTCTCGTTATGTCTCTTTTTCCAGAAAACACCATGGATCTCTGCATGAGCCTCCACCCCACTGCTTCCACAAAAATGAACGTCTTCTCCCCATGGAGCCCTTCGAAGCCGAATGAAAAGCCCCGGCACCGGCTCGATGGTGTAGTGGTGTGCCAAGATGAGTTTCACGCCAATGAAAACGAGAACCTCGTTGGGGGCTTGGAGGGGTTTGGTGGGTGTCTTGAGACTCCAATATACACCTGATACAGGTTCTCCAATAGGTGCTATGCTATCAGGTCCATATGCCATATGGCACTGTTCTCTGATAAGACCCGGCTGATGGCAAGACTTGGAGCCAATTTGCTCTATCTGTGTGACACTCAGATAGTGCACACCATGAACAGGACTTCAAGTGCTTGAAGACGAACACCGACTCTGAATGAAGAGTGATGTACTTACTAGTCTGCTGCAGCTACCTCAGTCAGTGGCCTGCAAGTGTCCAAAACAATCAGAACCCAACGGATTCGCTTCTTGATCTACCTGGAGCAACAAACAACCCTATCTTGGAATTGAATATTCCAGTTACGAAATTAATCTTCCAGTGTGCAACTTTCATCAGAGTAAGCATGAAAACACAAAAGCCTGTAAATGGGAAATTTCACCCACTTCTATGCGAAAACTGCTTGGGATGAGCAAATTGGCAGACTGCAGGGCATAATGTCTAGTTGATCCATAAAACCTTACATTGTAGATTTCTGCCAGCCAGGGCACGGCGGACACACCGTACTTGAGGAGCTCGAACATGTGCACGAGGACATCCTCTGAAATTGATGCACCAGCGGGATTTTTTCTTGTCAAGCTAACTGGATTGAGCCCCTTCGCTATTGAACCAATGGGCTACCTTTCACCTTTCACCTTTCACATGTGCAGAGTGTACTAAAGCGCAAGCCCTACACAGAGGAATTGGCTATAATATTACATGCAAAGCTTCAGGCTAAAAATTCGGCCTAAAATGGCTTAACCAATGGACTAACAGAAAATTGAAAAATACTCTCTCACAAGTCAAACACCTAAAACCTCCTAGAACTTCCAAACCACTGTGACATGCTGATTCTGTACCATGTTTCATGGAGTCATGGCCCAGCAAAAGCTCGTCCCAAGTCCCCCGCGCAAACATCAACACCCCAAAATCCAAACACTCCAAGCAAGATCAAGCAAGTATCTTATGTGAGAATTGGAAGCTTGCGCCCATCCACAGCATTTGCAGCGTTCATGTATATACATGCATACCATTCATATAAAATTGTGAATTGTGTTTTTAAAGAGAAAACACAACTGAAAGGCACAGGGTGAGGAGGACCCCTTTGATCAGCAACCAACTGGGGTGGCTCAAATGAGAGTAGACTCGGTAGGTCAACTATATAGGCATTGCTGAAAATTCAACGTCCTTCTTCCTCCACTGGCTTCTTGCTGGGAAGTTCAAGCCACCACTGGAGAAAACACCAAACAATCTGGTCAAACCCAAGCGTGGAAAGGGATCCATTCCATTCCAAACAAAAGCTCTTTATCATTCTGACCTGCATCCACCCATCCCAGAAGGGTCCCTTCGCCTCCCTGGCGCATCCCTTCGTCCGCCGCGAAGACGACGCTTCCGGGCGCCCCGGGCGATGATGAAGAACGTGGCCCGGAGCCCGAGCATCGCGAAGACCGCGGAGGTATACCTCGGCTCGGCTCGGACCGTGGAACCAACGGCGTTCAAGGCCGAGCTCTGCCGGGTTCCTGCAGTGGCAGAGCAGGCCCTGATCTTTTGCCCCGGCTGGGCCGAATGAAATCTGACCTTCCAACAAAGTGATTTCAGGGGTCCCACATCAAAGAACAGTAAGCGTCGACTCTCATGAGCAAGCCACTCCGACTCCCCATCTCACATGCGGGCAGTCCAAACATCCTCCTCAGAATCATGGACCCTCAAAGGTGAGGAGTTTGGGACGCTCAGAATCATGGACGCCTCACCCACCGCTTCTCGTTGTTTCTGGGGGACCCAACACCACATGTACAGTAAGCCGTTCTGATCCATTCGGATCCATTCGGGTTCCAACAGTCCCAACCATCCGCGCAGAAATCGGGTGTCCCCGACGCCAAGAAGAGGTCGTTCACCTGCGCCACGATGGCGCTCACCGAGTCCACCGCGAAGATGAGGTCACTGCGGCGGAGCGGAGCGGAGAGGAGCGGAGAGCCGGGGGGGTCCTCCTGAGGGCCATGGGGTAGGAGAACGTCTCCTTCGTTTTTTGGGAAGACATCGACCAAGACATCTGGATGAGATTCATCCGAATCTAAAAAGCTCCGCGGAACCAAGAGATGCACCAGGACATCGATTTCGGAAGCAAGGAGATCTCCAAATTGCTAATTACAATTTGTTGCATCCTTCTCTTTTGGGGCTCCGGGGCGCCCAGCAGCTCGCCCCGGCACGCCCAGCAGCTCGCCTGATCTCCAAACAGCACACCACCAGGAAGAGCATTGTGGCACGGAACTCCCAGGTATGCCTCCATCGCCGGAGGCGAAGGCGAGCTCTCTTCGGCGGATTTTGTTCAGATCGATGTGGGGTTCGCTTGGTGCACTCACTGACGTCAAAAAAGAACTCCTATAGATTTTGAAGGGGCATTACAATGATCAACAATTCTATCATATATTCATAGAACCTTGATGCTCCCGGTGCGAACGACCCCCGAGCTTCAGCAGCAGCTGCGGCTTGGCTTCGAACGAACAAGTGCGCCGTGGAACGGACGTAGCAGGTCCGGGTCTCTGTCCGGTGAGAGACGCGGACCAGACCTGTCTGGCCGGTCTGTCTGACCGGTGAGCCGGCATGTTGCTATACGGGATATGTGTTCATACCGGTGTTCACGGCATGGCATACGGACAAATGATGGCAGGCCAATAGATCCATGAGGGAATCCAAGGCCATCTATATAAGATTATATAATCGGACATACTGAATCTTGGCTTCAAAAGTACAAGGACCTGAATTGGTTAAGCTCCTGGTTACATTGGCCGTTTCTGTAATTAACCAGTTCATGGTCCCAACTCTCCGACGGCAGTCGAAACACGAAGCTCTTTGTCCAGCACTCTTTGCGCGTCGCTCTCAAGTCCTTCGGCACCGAGGGAAGCTCAGTGATCGAGCTCGACTCTCCACAGTGCATCTCATTAGCTTCGTGGCCCGCACGGCACCATGGACCCTCTCTGACGGCCTCCAGATACACGTGTCCTGCTCAGACAAGGCCGTGTATCGACAAGGCAGGACCTGGAGGGAAAATTGAGGCGATCGAGAAGGAAGGACAAGCGATTGGTCTTGCGGCAGTCAATAGTCAACAAATGCCAACGAATGTCAACATCATGCATCCTAGCAGCGCAAGTCGATGAAGAGGTTGTTGAAGGCCCGGTTGCTTGCTTCAACCATCCTCACCTTAGTTCCCTTCTAACTTGGAAACCAGATGAACTGAACGAGTCTCCGGCAGATCCTTCATGCGGTCGGGTCACTGAAAACCGTCCGAGGACTGCCACGGACGAGGCGATTTGTACAGCTAGTCCAACGGAGCAGATGGCAGAGATGTCCCTCATGAAAACATGTCTTTTGCCTCTCCAAATTTGGGGTTCGGATGAAACACCCCATCATGACAATTCCTCAAGAATCAATGCCCGGAAGATTTGCACCACATTTGACGAAATGGAATCAATGCAGCAAAATCGCCATGAATCCAAACGGCGCAGCGCCCAAGCTGCAAAGGAAACTTGTCAGACCACATCAAACCCAACACGCCCATGTGGTTACGAGAATTCGGATCATTGAGTGGGGTTTTGGAAAATGGGACGGTGATGGGACGTTGAATGCTTTCGTTGGTTTTGTTGTTTGCTTTGTTTTGTTTGTTTTCTTGGTGTTTCTTGGTTTAGTTTGCTTGGTTGTTTGGTCGGTCGGTCAGTTGATCGGTTGGTGGGTCTGTGGGTCGGTCGGTTGGTTCGTTGGTTGGTTCATTGCTGCCATGCTAACATCCGGTTCCAATTGGAGAGACCCTTAAAACGCAAAAATTTATCAAAAAAAAATGCGCATGTGAAGCATGCTAAATGACTCCCGAACTTGAGATGACTCAGTGAATCTTAGTGACTGAAGTCTGAAGTAACCTGAAGAACAGTGTTCAGAACTGTTTTCAGAACATTCGGGTCACAAAAAAGGACGTCTGCAGGTGAATTCGCTGCCATCAGGTGATGCGCTGCCATCAGATCCCTGGACCTCCCTCAGATCCTCCACCGCGGCGGTGAGAAGCTCCTGGGATGGAAGCTCGGACCTTTGCCACGAAGCGAACAAGGGACCATCAGTCCTGGCGACCTGGGGAGTCTCGCAGATCCCAGAGGTGTTTGCGGGGAAAGGGGACCACCCGTAGACCAAAGATCTGGCAGACCGGCAGACCGGGTCCCTTCCCCGTCAGATCAATTGGAACGGTCACTTCCCGGAGGTCATTGGCATCCGGGCGTTGGACAAAATCTACTGAACAATCTGAAGAATTTTCCTGCAGGACAGCCTCGGGACTGGAAAGGGACAACCAAAAACACACGGAGAAGGCCACGAATGCCCCAGCGCCACCTGACTGCCTCTCCTGGAGCTGCCCTGCCTCTTGGAGCGACTGCCTGCCGTTCGTTGCGGCTGCCACGAACTGTGGTGCGGACCCTTCCGAACTCCGACGCGGTGTGGAGCGGAGTTCGCTCCGGCTGCGGAGCTGTTCCGATTCACCACCTTCACCACCTTCACTTGTCCGCCCCAAAAACACGATCTGTTTTTGTTGAGCATACTGTAGAGCCGAGTCGTCTCGAATCTGCCCAGAGCCGCCGGGTGCTCCAAAAGGATCTTTAAGCCACTGTCATGGAAAAATGCGTTTTCATATGTTGTTGGTGTTTTGATGTTCGTCCTTTTTTTGGTTCATTTGTTCATGGAGTAAATAAGACACCCGCTGAATATGTTCATGGAGTAACTACTGTGGGATGTGTTGGATAAACACTGTCCTATTAAGGTCTCCAACTTGGGTGGGCCCTGGAGATCGGGACACACATGCTAAAGTGCAAAGGACTGCTGTGTGAGAGTCAGCGCGTGTGATTGTTTGCAGTTTTTGACGTTTTGTTGTTTGCTGTGAGAGCTTTTCCAGGAGTCAGCAGAACTTTGGGCCAGAAACTCAAGACATTGCACGTTTCTCATCAAGAATTGTTATAACATAGACAAAATTGTTATAACATAGTAGAAATTGAAATAATTGGGATTGATCTTGCAAGTTTATGATTCTTTCTTCCTGTCAGGTAGGTGCTTGGTGGGTCCTGGCCACCGGGACAGCCCAGCAGAATTAACAGGCAGCATCAGGCAGCACTGAGGTCAAAAACATTATTTAACTAAGATTTGTTGTTGCATCAACTGCGAAAACCTGTGATCCAAAACTCAACAGCATCATGTGAAACATGTTTTCCAGGGAGACTGGAAAACATAAAAGCTCAATGTCAGGGCCAGCGCAGTGCAAGGACTTCGCAAGAATCTGCACTGCATAAAGCGAAGTATTTTCTAGTGGCAGCAGCTTATGTTTAAATGATTTGTTCACTTGTGGCCTGTAAGGTAGGTGTTTGGTTGGTGGGTCCTGGCCACCAGGACCCCAGCCCTCATAGTTAAAATCAGCGCTGAGGTCACAAACGTATGCACCACTTAGGTCATCCGTGTTGGAAATCTTTAAGGCCTGAATTCAACAACATTATGAATCACTTGGAAGTAACCCGTTTAACCAGTCATACCATGTGAACCATGTGAACCACTTCTAACCGTGAACCGCCAGGGCCAGCAGAGCAAGGACATCAGATCAGCATCAACCTTAAAGCCAACAGTTTGCTTCTCAACGTTTGAGCAGTAAAGAAGTGGCCTTTCATTCTCAGTTTCTCAAACGCATGCTATTTATATATTGCAGTCTTGGTATCCAACTTGTAAATAAAGGCGCAGACCCTACTTATGTAAATGCTTCTTCTATTGTAAAAATGTTGTGGTTTTCATGTTCACTCATGCTCTTGCCTGTCAGGGAGGTGTTTGGTGGGCCCTGGCCACCAGGACCTGCTGCAAGAAATAGGTTGGAGTGGGTCCTGGCCACCAGGACCTACTCACACACTAAGGCCCAGGTGGTGAAAAACTAGGCACCTACTGGATAAGTGGGATGCGCTGCGCAAGCGCCGCCTTTTTTGGGGGATGGGTGAACGAGATCGTGCATGAGCTTTCCATGGCCCTGCACTCAAAAGGTTTGCACTGTTGACTCTTTGAAGCAAGATCAAGCATCTTGTCACAAGTCAGCTGCCAGGGTTTTGTTGGTGTGCAGTGTGCTTCTATATGCTTCTTTACTAGATGACCTCCTCTTAGGATTGCAGTGGCTTTGGCTTCTGGTAGCTACAGGCTTCCATGTGTGTGTTTAAAATACAAGCACAATGATTTGTTTTTGCAAACTAAGGCCACTAAGGTCACAGCATACTAAGGTCACAGCGTCACTAAGGCCACAACGTCACTAAGGTCATCACACCAAGTGTGAACAACCACACAGCAGGGACCAAGTCTTCACCAGAACAACATGTAACCATGCTGTTGCTTCACATGCTCCAGTCTGGTCTCAGGTGCAAACGCCAATAGGTTCAAGATAGGTCCAAACCTCAGGGGCCAAGTCTTCAACAGAACCACCAGTGTGTAACAATGCTATTGCTTCACACGCTCCATTCTTCAAAAGCAGTGGCAGCAGCTCAAGGTTGTTTCATCGCTTCTTCTTCTTCTTTCTCATCGCTTCTTCTTCGGGGGAGGCACCTCAGTCTGCACACCACCAAGTAGGTCAACATCATTGTCAACATCATACCACACCAAAAAAGGTGAGGACAGGATTGCGATGAGGTCGATGAGCTTGATGATGTAGATGAACTGCTGGATGGTGCACACTTAGCTGAAGCTTGCTTGGATGAACAGCTTGACGGGGCAGAAGCTGCCTTTGCCTGAAAAACATCATATCACAACAACAAACTCACCAAAGCATGATGCTTCAACATGCCTGTAAAGTTCTCAAGGACCTCCCCCCAGTAGTTGGCGAAACCAATAGCAGCTCTTTTCCTGAGCATTGTGAGTGCTTGGAGCTTGTATAAGCAAGCATGGTGCACTTTCAATATGCATTGGAGCCAAGAGGCTGCATCTCCTGCTGATTTTTCCTCAACTTTAAACCATTCTGTTTAAGAAAAAGGGCACTGTGAATTTCACTCAAGCTCCATGTCTTCCCAGCATCTCTCTCTCAAAGCGTTCATTGCAATCCTTCCAGCCGCGGTTACTAAGTAACAAATGTTGTGAACTCTTTGAACCTTTCCTTCCATCATTGGTTCCTGACTAGCCAAAACTAAAAAACACTTGCTAATGCACTTTCCCACATTGCGCCAACTGCCTGCCCCAACCTTTGATGCTCAATGTCAATTGAATGCAACACACTGTAATGGCAGCAAGCAAAACCAACAACCAAGTGCGACAACATCAACAACCAAGCTTGACATACAATTGAAAATTGTGAAATGAAAACTTTCTGAAGCAAAAATACCAGTTGCTGCGAGCTCGAGTCGACGTCCACATAAGTCCGCCGACCCCGGTGGTCGACTGCCAACCAGGGGTTCCACTTCCAAGCCACCGGCTTGGCCTTATGCATCACAAAGGACTTAAGAAAAACAAATATTCAGTCAAGCCCCGCCATGAACCACAAACCCATTTCCCTTCAAAGGCTTAGACTGCAAAAGTTTGAGGGCACCATAACCAAAGCTTCAAAGCAAAGCCCAAGGAACAGCATCTTGCCAGGACATGCAGCGCATCCTCTGAAGAAGCGCTGTGGCGATTGCAGCAGGGCGATTTTTGCCTTTGACGCAATGCATCAGCAGCGGCATGCCACGCCGAATATGATAGAAGCACCACTTGCACAAAGCAAGAATCCTCGGCCAAGCTGAGTTAGTGGCATCCATGTGAGTTTGTACAGGGAGAAACCTAGGACAAATAACACAGCAGGTTGTGTTTCTTTGAATACAAGCTCCTTGTTCAAGACAGTTTTGTCCTCAAGCAAAGGAAAAGACAAAAAAGTATTCAATATGGCAAGATGCGAAGCTTGCCTCCTATTATGGGAGCGCTCCTTGACGTGCAAGTTGATGTTCCAGGATAGAAAATGCCGTGGTGGATCACCTGGCTGGTTTTTGGAGTGTGATTGCTTTTGTTTCAATGTCAAGCATTGGAACGGGTACATAACAGGAAATCACATCAGCTAAATGTACAACCATCAAAATCCACCACCCTTTCCCCACTGTTGACACAATGGCCACATCAGCAAGTCTGCTGTAGCACCCCTTCTCGTTACCTGAGATCCAAAAGCCATTGCCGCAGCACTGAAGGGGCTTGTTATTTGGCAAAACTAAACAACGGTTTTAAAGCTGAAAGCACATGTATAAGTTGTTCAACAAGACATCAACCCAACCACACCACACATTGTCCAGGGACCAACATGCTTATCAACAAAACGTGATCGCCACAACTCGCGTGCATTCCATCATGGTTTCTCATTGATGCCGCTCCTCATGCCGCATCATGCCGCTCCTCATGTTGCTCCTCATCTTCTTGTACCACACAATGTGTCCAACGCAGGTGCAGATGGAACAATGCAAACAAAAGTCGGTTACTAACACTAGTTCCACAACATGCTTTATCGCAACAGTTTTCTTTTTGACAACATACAAGCGTAGAAAACAAACAAACAGTCCTTTGCTGCAAGAAAGAACCCACAAAAAGTTTTTTGAAAACAGCTTTGCCTCCTGAAGAAGAAGGCCAGGCTGATTCGGATCCAGGTCCTCCTCTGTGCCCAGGAGCGACACATTGATGTCTTCTTGGGGCCAGCACAAATTTCAATGCACATGAAGAACAACATGCAAAACTCCAAAGTTTCTAGAACATGTGTGTTTAAAGTAAAAAGGCTCCACAAAGTTCCTACAACATGTGTGCTTTGTTTGGCTTCCAGTGTTCAACATCATCTCATGCCTCCCTCAAGGCTTTGTGGTCATAGGATCCAGTGACGCTTTTGGCCTCGACTCGGATCTCATCCTTGGTGACAGGCGCTGGGGCTTCAAGGAATTAGACAAACCATATGTCCCAAAAAAACCCAAATTTGAAATATCTTTTGGGGATCACGCAGAAAGCTTCTTGGAAAACCACAAAAATGACTCGACTACTGGTGACATTCTTGGAAAAATACAAGATTACAAAACGCCAAACGATGAGTGTCAAGGAACCCGGCTCAGATCAGATGGCTTCCGCTTGTTGGCACCATCCTTATTCTTCCTTTTCTTCCACTTCCCCATGGCTGCTTCAGAAAACAGGGATTTGCTGCGGAAAAGGTGGACTGACAAATAGTTTTGGATATGCGACAGGTGCCTTTGGGTGGCAAATTTGTGCGCTGGCCCTGGCTTTTGGAACCGTTGGGTTTGCTGGAAAGAAACTTGTTGCCTGCTAGATGATTTGTCAAAGGATCCAGGGTAAAATGTCAGTGGCTTTGCTGAATGGTGCTAAGTAGAGGCTGGGCTAGACGGTGGCTTTGAGGTGGCAAGTTTGTGTCACG